AGGGAGAGAGAGGGAGAAAGAAAGGGAGAAAGAGAGAGGGAGAGGGGGAGGGAGGGAGGGAGGCCTAAGGGCAAAAATTCTAACCAACCAACATAAATCGCTAGCTGAGACTGTTATCAACAAACGTAAACACACTCAATGAATGTGTCTATGATTATAATCAGTGGATAGATGGAGTCATCCTTTCCCAGTAAGGTAAAATACCCACTATACTATCATTTTCTTTTACTACAATCAGGTTTCTTAAATGAGCAGGTTCTCCAATCTACATCGCAGCTAACATTAGAAATAAATCTTTTTCTTTAAAACAGTATAATCCCACATGGCACCTCCAAAGCTGTTTCCGGATACTTTTCACTATTCATACTGCTCATCTTGTTAAGTATTAGAAATGGACCAGTGTCTCAATCCTGAGTCTCAATTGCCCATGGTACCTGAAAGCTTTTTTCGAAGATACTTTGCACTATCTACACTGCCCATCTTCTTCAGTATGGGAAAATGATCAATACCTCTATCCTGACTCTCAATTACATGATCTGTTTTTGAAGATACTTCTAACAATCTTTTTTTTTCAGAATTGTTTGTTTTGTTTGAGTAAAGAGAAGCACATCGTCACAATATTGATCATTTAGTGCTGGGACAAAGCAAGACAGAGAGAAACAACAGATTGAAAGGAAAGAAGAACCTACCAGTGGCGCCCTCCAGCCACCTGCTTTTCAGAATTGGAAATGGATCAATACCTCAATCATGAATCTCAATCATACAAGATCTTTTCAGAGATACTACGAATACTGCCTGGCTTCTTCAGTATTGGAAAAGGATCAATATCTCAATCATAAATCTTAATAATACAAGAACTTTCCAGAGATACTACCAATACTTCTTGGATTCTTTAATATTGGAAATGGATCAATACCTCAATCATGAGTCTGCCCAAGATGTACATAGACTGTCCCCACATGTGAGGAATCTTCCCCATTGCAACTCGTTTCTGGCTGTTGGGTTTTGCATATTCTTTGTCAACCTGAAAGATAATGCAGACAAACCAATGTGATTTTAGCTGGCAACCTGAAAGATAATGCAGAAAAAAAAATAAGGCAACATCCACCAAAAACAAAAAGTGCAAAACTGTTCTGTGTGCAACATATAGTTCAAACAAAAGAAAACTAAATTTAACTGATAACAAAAACTTATTCTGCGCCTAGGATTGGATATGACACATAAGTCCACTCAGAGTTATTGACCAATTTTTGGCATTTCAAATTAACGTTAACAGGCAGCATACTGACAGGAGATTATGAACACATAAATGGCCAGCACCCAGACACAAAATCCCCTTCTACCCTCTCTAAGAACATGTAATTCTCTCACCAGCTCCTTCGGAACAGCGTAAAGTTCAGGGAGTATAGGGATTCCTTCATCATTCTTTAACATAACTTCGTCTAGTTTCTTCCTGTATGTATCAACCTGAGAAGCAAAAGAACAAGAGAAGCTGATTATTTCAAGAGGACCACCAACACAAAGTTTTGTTTATCAACGTAATTTGAACAAACCACAATCTTACGTGGCATCTGTAATCTAATTGTTAGGCTACAGGACACATGATCATAAGGTGGCAGGATCAGAGGTTTGTGGCTCAGCTTAACCCAAAATTGAGTCCTTTGGAGAGGCACTTTACAAGAATTTTCTTCACTTCTCCAAGGTTTAAATAGGTACCCAGCGATAGACAGCAAAAGATCTATCAGTATGTTGTTTAGGTGGCTGAAAAATGACAGCTTGCACTGTTTTTAGTTTTAGTGTGGTTTTACGGCGCTCGCAACTGCATAAGATCATATGAGCGCCAAGGGGTGGATGTCAACAGAGAAGTCCAAACGGGGAATCAGGCGTACTCTCCTCACCTCTTTAGCCTCAACAGCACAAAGTCTGCTTCGACTATAAAGGATTCCCGGAAAAAGCAGTCCACAAGAGAGTGACAAACATACAAGAGAAGTAGAGAAAAAAATGAAGATGGTATGGTTGAGGAAAGACAAAAGCAGCAGTTCCCCCTATGTCGTTCCGGCACAATATGAGTATGACATTGATAAATCAGCCAATTTATAATTCTACAGTGCATAAGAATATCTTAATATCCCCCTTTGGGAATGGCTTAAAGACACTTCAGTCAGTAGCACTGCCCTGGTGGGGGGTGGTGCTTGCACTGTGTGCTTCCCAAAAAGCTTAGACTTTCAAAATGTCATCAGGTATGTTGGGGTAGTAATAGAGATTGTATTGCTCGTAGAGATTGCTGTTAAGCAGGATTTTGTGCTATACAAATTGTGGTGTAAGCGCACCTTAAGAATAGAAGGACATGTAGCGTGAACACACCTTAATGGTGATTGTTGTGACGTAAGCCTTAGGGACGCATCACGTGACTGAGACCTAATGTGATTTCGTGCAAGCGGCGGGAAATCTGAAGGTCACTCTCTCACTGAAGCCGAAACGAGTAACATCGGCTAACGAAGAACTAGCAGACGACCAGCAGGTGGGGCCCCACCAACATTTACTACTCCAAGACTCAAGTAAGTTGTAACATAACACAAATGCTATTTATTATTTATTTACTATTACATACAAGCAAGGCACTTCTAACAAGATACCCGCGTGTAACCCTTAAGGCTTTGTAAAGTACCACAAGCTAATATAGATCTAGTGAAAAACACTCAAATACCACACCAATTTAGAATACTGAAGCCATAGTACAAAAGAATTTATTTTCTTAATAAACCTTCACAGCCCAGGAAACATGCTAAAAAAATTCACAGTGTTTCATCAACCATTCAGCTATCACACAGCATAACTTCCAGTGGTATTTACTTTTGTACAGTGGCTCTGTTCATTGTTTAAATACAGTAGTCTCCGCCTAAGATCCCACCTCTTACGATCCCGGTTCGCTTAAGATCTCGTTGTTTTAGAAAAACAAAATTTTTACTATACAAAAGTCATCCCTAAGATCCCGCTCTAATGGTCGACATTCGGCTAAGATCCCGCATTTCAGATCATAATTTGCGAAACAAAAACCCGGGCGGGCACAGCCGATCAACCAAGAGTGAAAAGTTGAGATCAATAAACTGTCCGTCGCGTCAGAGATCAGCCACTCTTGTGAATGTGATCACATACACGTAAAATGCGAGGAAGCGATACAACGTTTGCCCCCGACGGGATCACACCGGGTTGTGAATTGACCGACGTGTTTGTTTTCCCCGAACATCGCACTCACACCTGAGCTGTCCCCCTAAACTTGCATCACTCGCTGGGTGGGTAGGGCCTACACGTTCGCTCCAGGCGGGATCACATCGAACCGTGAACTCTTCCTTGACCATTGCAGCAGTTGTCTCTACTCCCGAATTTGCGAGACAGACTGAATTTTAATTGGTGTGTTCACAACGTAATGGTGTGTAACGACAAAGGCGGTTTTGTGGGGGGGGGGGGGGTGGACTTGGTCAGAGATGGAAAGCTATAAATTTTCGACAGGTAAAGGGGAGGGGCAACTGGATAAGTGTAGATCTTGAGACTCATGATAGGATAATAAGTCAAAATGGCACGCCTCATCCCACTATGCACCGTGATAGGTCATCAAGGTTAACCACTCTTTGCTCACCATATGCCATAAACCCACCAAACGGGCACGTCAGTTCATTGTAGAGTGGAAGGAGAACATTTTACCGATTGTGAGCCTTAACATGGGTCACCATAGATTCTTCCATGGGTTCATCGGTTAAGATCCTGGTTCGCCTAAGATCCCGCATGTCCTTGCTTCCGAGCACCGGGATCTTAGGCGGAGACTACTGTATATCTAATGTGCCTGGTAAAGTTGGCGAACTAACTTACCAACGGTAATGAATGCATACTACAGTCCTGGCGGTTGTTGACGGTACTAAAAGCGTTGAAGCAATAAATGTCATTTTAAACAGAAAATCGATTACACACAACAGAGCACACTTGATCATCATGATTGCGAATATTGTTCTTTAGTAATATTGTGAGACAAGGAACCACCCTCGCACAAATTGTGGTCATGAACCCATTCTGTGACAGCTCTCGTATGTACACCATACTCTGAATATCATGTGCCAAGAGGCCGTCATCTCGTAACAATGTACATCCTAAAATCAGCCGATTACAGCAATTGTGTGGACCATAGTACATGGACTATGCACAATTTTACAACTGCACTGCTTTGATCTTTGTTCTCTGATCTCATACTACTGCAGAGGTGCCAATTAAAATAGATACTGCTAGAATCAATACCTGATATCATATATTATTTATACCGATGTGTAAAAGGATGGGCAGGAGCACTCATCCCTTGCATTCTGCCACATAAGGATAAGAACTAAGCTGCAAGGAGCTCATTAAAATGAAAAGTATCAGTAAATAAAAAGAAATGTAAAATTCTAATCATAAAGCAGAATGGAAACTAAAAATGCTTTCAACAAAAAAAGATTTCAAGAGACTTAAAAAACTTCCAGGAAAATTGTGAACCTACCTGCTCTTTGTTGTTAGTAAAGAGTCCATCGAGAATGAGGTAAGCAAAAAAGAGTGGCCACTGGCACTCGATATTTTCGAACACCATCAGCTCCCAGGGTTCATAATGCAGCCTGCGTGGATCCTAGGAAGGTGAGAGAGAGCACATTTAAGGGAAAAGTGTAAAGGACAAAATCATGACTTTTCAGAATTTAAAAATTTCTTTGAACAACTTACAGGACGCTTCATCAATATGTAAACATCAGTATTTACCTATTGAAAAAGAGCCTATGACAAAGTCTTCTCATTTTTATATATCCAACTTGAAATGATATCTATGCATTCACAAAATGAATTATATTTTTTTAAACTATAAAAAACTTTGCTGGTAAAAGCATAAATGGCCAAGGAGGGGAAGAAATTTGAGACAATTGTGAAAAAAAAGTATGCTGGACAAAGATCTCATATCAAGCTTCTTTCACGGCGCACCGGCAGTGGACTTTTAGTTGCCGCGGAAGGTTCCCTGCTGGGCGCCTTATCACGTCGGGGTCACGCGGGTCAGCTCCCTGTCGCCGCTCTGTCTGGGCCGACTTAATTTTTGGTACTTTTCGACGTACAATTTAAGGTGTTTCCTTGTATTTATGGTAATTCTCATTTAGTGCACTCAAAGCACGCATTTCTGCTCTTGAGACTCAAAAAAGAACAGACGTTGTAACTTGTCTGGTTATTTCATTAGACGCGCTGCAGTCGGCAATGCTAAATTGTAATTTTTTTGGGACTAGCGTGAATGAAAAAAAATTAATATAAAAAAAGGGCCTCGTCAAAATCTGTCAAACTTTTGGAACATGAACGACATAGCATTGGTGCAGATACTCAGAAAAGATGGTATCTGCGCATATAATAGAAGGCTGTAATTTTGCAATGTTATCCATCGGGCACACAATTCACTATGAAGTAATTTCTCCAAATACAACTTTATGTGTCTAATATTATCGTGAATATTCGCATATTTTCTCGAAATTTTGTAAAAGTTACCATGAAGTTTGTCTATGAAAAGCACAAATCGATTTTAGTGCTAGAATACATCTTCAACGTAGATCTAATACACGAACAGTATCTGCTACACTCCAGAAAATCCTTACTATTCTTAAAACGCTAAGTCTAGGTTTCGTAAGTTGACTGAATAATAGGGATGACTTCTCTTAATTGGGTTATAAGAATAATTTCTAGCTTTCCAGGGACACTGAATCAGCACCAGACTTTTCCAGCTTTTTTTTCGTTTCTATGACCATTTGCAATAACTGACTATATGACTGATTTCTTTACATTCATAATTGTGTCCGCACATATTTCCTACACAAAAACTAAGAATGAATGTTTTAGCAGTCATTATTTTTATTCCATACAAAAAGTTTATCTCTACCCATGTATTTACATGGTTTTGAGGTTTTTTAAATCGCTTATATTATATCTTTTTAGTTGTATGCAGGCTGCCACATACACAGCATGATTCATGAACAAACGCAGAGTAACTTTCTCTTGTTAAATAGTAAAATAAGAGATCGTCTTTAGTTAAAAAATGCAGATGTGCATCTTCTCGTATAACTTGACTATTACTACTCGCGCAGATTTAAGATTTCTCATGGTAAAAAACATGATATTCGTAGTCAGTTTAACACAGATTTTGGAGAGATCTGTCAAACCTTTTTTAAATTAACAATCATTTATTCATAAGTTTGTAACTAAAATAGGACAAATTGGGTACTCTACAAACACTTGTCTAGAACAAAAACTAAGGCACAGAATTTAACCATTCTAACGCAGAATAAATCTCAAGACATTGAGCTTTTAGTATATCCGCGTAATGGTTTGCTATGTGGGATGGGGAAGAAGTTATATCGTTTTAAACATAGTCAAAAATGCGAACTTCCTGACCAACACCGGCAAAGTCGCTTCAGGGCTCATAAACCCCGTGACACCCGAGCCGGGGATCTCCGGCGGGCTGCTAAGTCACGCTAACTAAAAGTAACAGAATCTGGCGAGATGTGACACCGTGCTTTTGTTACTCAATTGAATCTCATCAATAACAGCACACACAGTCGAAGAGAAAAGTGCTCATCTTGGACAGTGTTAATATACTTTTTTTTAACGCAAGGAGGAAGTAGGAAGTTGTCATTTGTACAGGCGATTGTCCAGGACAGGTGATTGTTGGAGCAGGTTCACCTGTATTATAGGGCTGGGTCACGAGCGCGAGAACGGAACTGAATCGCCACTCTTTCCTGCAGAACGCGATTCATGATTCACTTCAGCGGAACGCGGAACAGTATCGCCAAACGATTCCCGATTCACTCCCCTGTCGCTGTCACCACCTTGTGGCTTGTTTAACCTACTGCAGAGTGGAGTCACGAGCACAAGAATGGAACGGAACACTTAGTATGGCTCCCCTTATTTTACAAAAGAAGGTATAGTCCAACCCCCCTTTTAAAACAAAATGAACGGGGTCCAACCAATAGACAGGAGGAATTTTATAGAGCCATTGTTTTGGCGAATGGTGGGGTTGGGTGGGGGGAAATTTATGGGGGTCACTAATTGAGGTCAGTTGATAGAGCAGCGCAACAAAGGGTGTGGGGCGGAGAGGATGGCGGAACAACAAGAGTGGGACTCGTGCTCGCCAAGAGGCGTTGATATGACACTGTTCTGTTTCAGTCAGTGTTCCGCCACATCTCCACGAGCGCTCGCGTACTCGCGATTCATTGAAGCCGACTGAATCGCGAATCACCACTCTCAAATTTGACGAGCAGGATCCAGCCCTACTGTATTAAGAAACAAAATGGACAATTCTGACATTCAATAACCTACCTCCTTGGCAGTCTTATAGCCATCCCTCAAAAACCTGGCAAAGCCATAGGGGCCCTGTAACAGAAGAAAAAGAATCTCGGTTAACATTTTTAATAGCAATCTAACAGCTACCCCGAAAACTGCAACCCTTCGCCCCTCCCTCACCTTGCAGCATGGTGTAAAGTTTAGAGCTGGTAAAACCAAAACTTGAAAATTATGTTTAAAATCAGTGATGAGCAGGCAAAGCATTTTCTGCATTCAACAAGTTAAACCCCTCCAAAGGGAAGCAATAACTCTGTCCGTTTCCAAGTTGGGAAGGTTTCTGTGTTAGACAGATATACTATCGAGGAATTTATCAGGGGGGAGCAGAGAGATTCACTCATGACATGTTACCATCTTGGACAGGTTTCCGTTATGGCAGGTTCAACTGCACATTCCATTTTAAAAAATCTATCTGCACTATATGTCCTTTCCTTAATTCAGAAGATAAAAGACAATACGCAGGACATTAACACATTTCCCCCACACTGGGCACAGAGAACAAACATTTGTCCCCACATTCCAGAAAGCAGAGTTTGAAGGAAGTTGAGGTACATCAGTACCATGTATGTCTCAGAATAATACGCTCAAATCAAGAAATTTTCAGGACATTGAGAATACTGAATGTGAGATAGCACATGTTCATCAAAATGAGAGTAAGAATCGAAGCTAAAACCATTAGCACATTTAACATTTGAATCCCCATAACGGCAATATGGCAAAGTGTAAAGTAGCACTCACATTAGGTCTGGCTCCAGTTTTCAAGAATTTTTTTATAATTTCAAACAAGCTGACTTTCTCTCTCAAAGGCAATAGAAACCATTTGGGGGGAAGTCATACCTGTAACAAGTGTGCATAGCTAAAGAGAGATCATTCCTACATAGTTTTTGTTGCTGTGTTACATTGTCTCTGATCAGTGTTTTATCAGGGAAAGAGACAACTTTTTACCAATGTAGATCAGTTTCTGTTGGGGGGGGGGGAAAGAGTGTTTAGAGAAAAGCACTAACCTCTAGCTTATCCTTGATGGTCGTGTGTGTGAGAGCTATCAGCTCTGGGTCGTCTACAGCAAATGCTGGGAAGCTGATCACAGTGAGCAGGGCCGCATCTGTTTCCTATGAAAGGGAAAGAAAAAGTTTGTAAAAAGATTATCATTTAATCATAGAGACCTAAGCAAGTGACAGAAAACCATGCAATACATGTAATAAGTTTCCTGAATCTCTTTTGAATATATGCATATTCAATCTACTCTTCTTCTTCATTCTCCTGCTATCCTTATGGGGAGTTGAAAGTAGATTCTACAATCCCCAGTGTCTGGCCTATTTTCTTTCTATAAAGCAGTATTTCTCGCTTTTCAAGTAGCAAAGTGCTGTTTTAAAGCATCTCTTTATTATTTGGTCGCTTTTAAGGACATGCGGGCTAACCCAGATTTCGGGGGTTTCCAGAAATCTTGACCTACACCGAAAGTGGACATAGCCCTTCCTATAGGAGAAGTTTGGTTTCATTGGTGTGTATAGTTGTTTGGTTATAGAGAAAACTCTCCTTGTCTTTTAAAGAAAAAGTACAAGGGGCAAAAACTTTACCTTCGATTTTTTCAAAACAGCATTTTTCGGGATAGCCCCCTTGTGCTTAAAGCGACCATTTATATCAATAATTTTCTTCAGTGTAGGAGGCATTGAATGGTGAATAAAAATTGGAGTCAGTTTCTTTCAGTTTACTGCTGTGTTCAGATGAACCATTTTCTGTCTAAGCATATGCTATTGTAGTTCTGTCGGGCCTGCTCATATTTTCCATTATCAACCCCCAAGATGTCTTTTACACACACACACACACAGCCTCTTTCAAGATTTTAGTATCTCTTCGAGACGATTAATTGCAAAATCAAACCAGCTCCAAGATCATGCATGTCAAAATCTGAGAAAAACCTTTAAGTCAAGCACATGTAAGAAAAAACCAGGTCTTTTTACTTCTGGTCAATGACAAAAGATTCAAACTGACCAACATCGAGACAATAACTTACTTTTGAAATGGACTCTCTTGGCAGCATTGATTGAAGAATAGCCTGCAAAAAAAGAAAAGGAGCAACATTCAGTTTCAGAGCCCATCAAAGACGTACAGTTGAAACATTTTGTATTCTATGTGATCCTAAAAAATCTTTTGTGATTGTAAATGGACATTTTAAAATTTGTATTTGCAGTTCATACCCTCCCACACACACACACACATACACCAAAAATGTACAAAAATCATCAACCCGTTGTGCAATAGGCTGGGGGTGGGGGGTGTATGTGTTTGTGAGTGTGTGCGTGGTGGGGGGGGCTGATGGAAAAAATGCTAAAAATGCGAGACGTGCAGAGCTTCTGAGATCATATAATCTCAGTCCCGCAACCAGTACCAGTAATGGCGGTACTCGACACCCAGTGCTGGCAAAGTACCTGAGCTCAATTTCCCCGGTACTACCCAGCACTACTTTACATACACGCTTCCTTGCACTCACCTGACATTGCTGAGCTTCATCTGGCAGAACATGAATGACGGATGCTGGTCCCCCACGAGACCCAAACAGATCTAGCTCATTGATGGCTTCAAGGGCAGCCTGTCCAAGAAAATAAAATATGTTTGTTTGGGGTAATAGAGAATACATAGTCAAATCTATAGTAAATACGTCTTGCAGCCGGATAAAGCCAGACTATAAATATTGAAGTGATGTTGAACTTTATATCTTTTCAAGTTTTTTAAAAACCTTTTCATTTTTCGAACGGGAAATGTCAGTATCGGCACAATCAACATGAGCAAATGAGTTAGACACTTTCAACCATCATTCTAGACAGTGCTGTTCTGCATACATATATATGAATAACACAGTACATGAACAGTAACAAGCTACAGCATCAGAGGCAGGAAAAAGCACTCTCGGTAGGTAGCGTAAACATGGCCTCGTGGGCACTCACGGCCTTCCGACCGTGTGGTATCGGTGAAATCGGGGCAATTCCGATCGCTGTTTCTTTGCTCTTTCGCTATAAAACACCAAATGCCGTACACCTTGTAAAAGTTCAGCTTTTCCTCGTTACAATGGTGTAAGTTGTTTATATGTCCGATTATTAGGAGCTGGAGAATCGTCGACGAAAGCGAAGCCCCTCACGGTCGGAATGCGGGGTCGGCCGGTTCAAAAATTGACACGCGTGCATTCAAATGCTTCGCGGAACGAGGGATGATTAAATACCGTCTTTTCGTTGGCGGAGAACTGCAGAGCTTTAAACGGACTTTCCCGTAATATATATTTGGCCTTTGGCATTTAAATAGAAAGCTTTTAAAAACGCTGTCAAAATGTTTAAAGATCACTTTTTAGACAAAATATGTAAAAAAAACGGCTTAAAAAAGGAAACTATTAAAAGATCAGTTCATTTTCTATTAGAATAAAGTAATCAGCTTGGAATTATTTTTCATCAATCCTTCCGCGAGACTTGGAAAGCATGTGACCCCGCACGTGGGGTACACTACAGAATAGAGCCGACTCGTTCGCCGCGGGGGCTGGTGCGGCCCCGGCCATGTCAACGCTCAGTGTTTTTGTCCAAATAACAGCAGATCATCGTGTTTGAGGTGATAAAATACTGATTTGTAATGATCTCACAGTCTTGAAAAAAATTAGGCTCCATATATTTGTTATAGTGATTGTACTCTGTTAATGTGGAGATGTTAAGTGCATTTGGTACTCTTTTATTGTCTGTCAAACATGGGGTTGCAGCCAGTGACTGACGTTAACAAATTCAATCAAATTTTAAACAACTACCATTTTCTAAAAAATTGACTGAGAGGTTAAAGAATGGTACCAAAATGAAATTTGGCATACAGCTACTTTGAAAATTTAGTTTCTGGTACCTACTCTCTGCCTCACGTCTACACAAGCGAAAAAATTGAATTTGGGAATTTCTTTAACTCTTTATCTCTGAGGGGGGTAAACCCACTATGCAGGGGTCCAATTTTTGGCACGAAGTCTAAAAGTGACATATACGTCACTCAATTGGTCATTAAATAAATAAAAACAAGTGACAGTTCTTCATTTAATGAATGAGCTCCTGGTAAAAGAGACTTTTTTCAGCAATTGTTAAAAAGTAATCTGACACCGGAGTCTTTGTAAAGGAAGGTGCCGGAGCCGCTGCCAGCGGCTCACCGGAACAGCAGTTCTAACCGCGAATTGCTGTGAGTGGCTTGTCAGAGATTAGGAGTCACAGATTGTGAAAATTGCAAATCCAAGTCATGTGCAAAAAAATCCTGGTATACAATACCTTTGCCATTCCAATGGAACTAGCATTCAATTCTGGGAGTCCATGGTTTGTTTTGTCACCCCGCTCCCAAATGCCATAATCCTGTGAAGAAAAACAACTGATTTTTAGCATGACAATGCATATAGTATAACACTGGCCAAATGTTCAGATATACAGAAGCCAAATGTTCAGATATACAGAGGCCAAAATGTAGAATTTTTTTTTTTTAAAATCAGAGTTTCTTAATCTGTCGCATGGGTGCATGTGTTTGATAAATATCTGGTAAAAAAAAATGTACAGTCTTTTTTTCTCTTTCCGGAAACATTTCACTTTCTCGACTAAAAACAATTGAACAGCTTACTGACGATAAGCTTACTGAAAGAAAGGAAGCAGAAATATCTTTAAATCGAATGGCATACACCATAGCAAAAATCAATCAAACCCCAAGAAAGAGCAATATGAATTGAAAGCTACAATCTCTTCACAAATTCCCCAAGTCGAAAAGTAATTCGGCAAGATAAGACAGAAACAAGAATCACATCAATATATTTCTTTCCCAAAGCCTATACTAAAAAATTTAAAAAACACTCAACATCCAGCCCAAGCACAAACAGGAATAATCCCCCCCCCCCCCCACACACACACACAAAACTAAAAGCCATCTTACTGGAGTTCTGTAAGCCGCTTCGATGTAGAACACAAGGTTCTGGACAAAAGCAACCTCATCAAGAGTGAAAACAATCACCACACCTGAGGAGTCAGAAATCAAAGACAATACATGAGCCCAAATAAAAACAATGAATGAACAATTCAAATGTGAAGACAATTTTTTATTGTACTAGGAAAACTATTAAATATTGTACTTCTTGTCTTTAAAAAAGCTGCAACCAAAAATGTCAAATATTTCACAGTGAAACTGCAAATTTGTCAAAGTAAAAGTGAGGTACACACTGATAATCAATTGAGGGACAAACCAGGCGTGCACATCTATATATATTTAATAAACACACTGTGATAGTGATAGGTCATTCGCCTTTTAATTATAAATACTATCCACCCTATAATTACTGAGATTCCACTAATTAACGACTAAACAATAACAATCTCAGGAAAGATGGAAGTAAAACAACATACTAAATTCATGCACAAAGAAGAGTTGAAGCTGTGACCAATGCAACTGGGGTCTGTGAATCCTATGAATAAATTTTCACAACCGACAAAAGGCAGAGCAACCAGACTTCCAACAAAAGGGTTTTGAGGATTCTATTCTGTTACAAAATGGCAAGCAATGTTTTAGGCAATACACCCATGATCTAGGAATACACGCACTGACCAATGAGCTTGGAGATAAGTAATGTCTCAGACAAAAAAGGAATTTTTAATACAGTCAAACCTGCCCTAACAACCACCTTGTCTAGGACAATCACCTTCACAAACAACCAGTTCCTACCCATCCCTCCCTTTCCACCTTACATTTGTTCTATAATATTAAAATAACACTGTCCAAGAGGACCACCTCTGTAAGATGACTACTTTTCTCCTTGACAATGGGTTGCCGTCTTGTTCAGGTTCGACTATGTTTCATCAAAAGATGTAAAAAGAACTGCTATTGTGCCACACCTGAAGCAGTCATCTGAGCCAAGGCTAGAATGTACAATGAGGTGGCGTCGATCTGTAGGTGTCCCCACTCGTAGTCACCCACGACGGTTTTGCCGGTGGTGCTGCTGTATTTGGCGTGAAGGGCGTCCCGCGGGCTCTGAGTGCGCTTGAACTGCTCAACTTTCTCACTCTGCATCTGCATGGAACGTAGCAGTCCTCGCATTGCCTGGACCACAGCCTAGATAAATAGAAAGGTATAACAGATCCAGAATATCAGTCTCAGTTTGAATTATTGTCATTTCTTCTGACGAATTCAGGAAATAACAGATATCCATAATTATATAAGGTAACTGAAAAACTCCTGTCCGTTTGCTGATCACATCGAGTTGGTAACAGTAAGAGTTAAAAGTCATCCATACTAACAGAAACGGAACAGTACAAGTTACACTGTAGGTTCTACAAACCTGCCAAACACTCCATGACCAAAAATAGGAGTTTTTTTCTCAGAATCATCGCTAAAAATCGGAATCTCAAGAACATCAGTTGGTTAAGACAACATTACGAACCGACCAAGGCATATAAACGAGTGTAGTGCCAATAAATGCCAATAAAAATGTGTATTTTCATGTTATCTACGATAAATCAAGCAAACATTGCAAATAATCCTGTTTATTTTACGTCATTAAAAACAAGTTCCATACAAAGGATGGAAACAGAATTCAAGCAAAAAAATTGGATTTTTATTCAAATTTGATTGGGGTTCTTCAACAGGCAAAATGAAATTAGAGGGCTCAGATTTTATCAGAGTTCGTGGCTGGTCTTTTAAAAGTTCTTCATCTAATGAAAAAAATTCCAGTATAAGAGACCAGTTCTCGGCAATTGCCAAAAAGTAATTTGATGTCAAGTCGTCTTAAAGGAATGTGCCCGAGCCGCTGTAACCGGCTCACCGGCACAGTGGTTCCGACCAGCGGCTTGCCAGAGATAAAGAGTTAAATAGTACTAGAAGCAGAAAAAACACACATGTGTTTAGGAGTCTTTAATGCACATTTGAGTTTCTAAAGAAGAGAAATGCTCAGTGCAAGTGTAGTTAAGTTATACTTAATGACCAATAACAGTAAAATAAGAATGGTTAGTCTCCATATTCTACAAACTAAAAGCAGAAACAAAGAATATGTTAAAAAGAAGGAAGGTAGAGAGAAAGGGAAAAAAGCGATAAGAAAGGAAAAAAAGGAAGAGATGATAATTGATAAATTGAAAAGAAGAAATTAAGGAGTAAAATAAAGATGAAAAGATAATTAAACAAATAAACCAAGAAGCAAATAGAAAATTAAAAAATTCAGAGATTTAATTTTTTCCAGATAAAACTACATTCATTTTTGTGCTTAGTTTTCTTCTCCCTGTCATTTTCATTTTACTTGCTCACAATGCTCTCTTGATTTCTACACCTAATAGTCATATTTCTAAACATATCCTGCCCTCCTCATAGTTGTCTGTTAGTTACTTACTTTCTCAAGCTCATATGCCTTGGCCCTGTCTTCATCCAGGTCCACTGTTTTCCTGTATGCCAAGGCAAGGCCCCACACTGCCATGATGCAGTAAATGTTGTCACGAACCCATGAGTGATTTTTTTCATTGCCTGAGATAAGACCGGTAGCAGGAGACTGGAACAAGAAACAAGACATACATGAAAACAACATAGTTGAAATTTCTTACGCCCATCTTCAAGTATTTTGCAGGCTGCCAACAAACATTCTCAACATGATTGGTTGGAGGGATTAACAATACTACAGGTGATTGGATTATGACGGCTCATCCACACCAGCAGGGGCCAATAAAACATTGAACAATGAGAGATTTTTGTGGCCGTCTTAGACATGTATTTTCGGTTGTTTATTGATAAAGTATGGTGGCCGAAGTCGGGTAGCACAGGTGACTGTCTTACACAATGAAAATAAACAGAGAAAACACACCATCAAAGATGAAAAAACTAGTTAATTCATAACTTTCTACTTTTGCAAAGGGCACTGTCATCATTGTTGTTGAAATGACACATCGTCCCTGAATATAGCCAATACAACTACTGTATGTCACAAACAATTTTCGCAGAAGTAAATTTCACTCACTTGGTATCTTAATATGCTTCTGTTGACAAGTCGCTGGTAGTAGTCCAGGCGGATGCCGGAGTCGCTCCTGCTCCTCATTTTGTCAGAATATCTGTACTCACTTTAACAGCTGTTTTTGATTTGAATCAGCATCTGAAAAAAAGGGAGCAAAAATCCAAAAGTGCTCATGCGTCACAACAACGTGGAATCAGGTGCTCGTCAATTTTGGGGCAATTGAATTAGTAGTATCACCTTAAAGCTTCTTCATTTGTTTTGCCTTCGATGAAAAAATTACCCATCTATCTTCAACAGAAGTGGAGACATTTCGGATATAAAGAGGTGGAGGCAAACTGGTTTCAGAGGTAAAATTAGCGAGAAAACGGCCGCCTAAGCTTGGTGATTTCCAAAGCTAGAGAGTCCTTGGAAACTGTAAATTCACATTTCTTGTGCCTTTAAGAAACGTCTTTCAGTAAAATCCTAACAGTAATGTATTTTTTAATGAATATAAAAAAAGGCGTTAGGCCTGAAAAAAAAATTCAATAGAAATTGCCCAACGGGAAGAAAAATGCTGTTTTCTTCAATGTAATTATTTTGACGAGAGCCTGGTTTCACTACAAAGCCCCGCATAAGAGTTGAACAAGTATATGAAATGAAATACTCCTCTATCACAAAGACATAAAACATAAGAATCCACTACACTGTGACCAAAGCTTGCAGTTCGGCAAGTGGCGACAGTGACAAAAAGTACATAAAGTGTGACAAGCCCGTTCTAATGTCTGCCTGGACTGGCAGAATCATTCCGCATATTGACATACACAGCAAAATGAACCAGCGAGATCTTAAATTGAAATAGTTCAAGAACAGTACATTATGAGGTAGACATGGTAACGACTAGAAAACAAATTAAAAAGAATTTTATGGAATGCTTTTCGGTCATCTTGAGAACAAAAAAGTTGCTGATTCATGGCTTTATCAAATTATAGAATTTACAAAGGGGGGGGTGGGGGGGGAAGCTATATAAATTGATAAGGTAGAAAAGTCAACTTGGTCGAAGACAAGTCTTGTCATTATTAACACTTTGCTGCCTCATCTCGCGGATAGGCTATGTTTACCACCCAGTTTTTTTTTATTTTCCCCAAAATATGATGGCAAAGTGATAAGTGGTGTTAAGCAAGGCGAAGAACATCGTAGAAGGGACAGCTAATGAAAAAGAATCTAGAAAATGAGAGTTCACCCTTGACGAAAGTTGGAGACTGTTGAACCTCTGACAGCAGAGGAAAAAGAATTTTATCTTCACCACAACAGTTTTCATCTCTGAAGTATTCCAATGAATGGACAATGTATGAAAATCAAGCTGCTTATTATAGCAGGACAAAGTTGAAACTGTACTCTATTCAAATTTTTTCTCAGTTCTCTGTTGTGCACAGGTAAGACCTGAAGATTGAAAGAAAGCTGACATGATTTGAAGAAAGATATCATAAGGAAACAGGACATCCAGCTGGAGGAAAGAGTTAAGGAAGTCATCAACAGCACTTTCAAATACTTCTTAAACAGGAAGAAGTGAACAGAAGATAGCTTGGCCACATTCTCTGCATGAATTTCGTTGTGTATTTTGTCTGGTCCGGGGGCTTTCTTTTGCTTTAACTTTTGAAGGCCTGTCTAAGTTTCATCAAGCTGAAGTCTCCCTCAAAAAGGTAGTTTTGTTTACGGTAGGGGCTTTTTCTTTGTGCTTACCCTTCTTTATGAGGAGTCTATCGGCCTCAGTTAGTCCGCTTGCCCTGTTTACTGAGGCGAAAAACCAGTTAAAATGTTCGGCTTTCGGTCTTCTGTGATGGTACTGCCTGAAAGGAAGATACGTTTGTGGCTGCTTTTCTGTCTTTCTCCAAAGAGGTTGCTGACAAGGGACCAAACCTTTGTTCCATTGAGGCAAAGGTTGAGATCTTCGCCAGTCTGAGTCCATTTTTCGTTTTTGGCTATAATGCATGAAAGCAACTGCCAGTCAGAAGAGAATTAGATGGTAAAGAAAGTAAACTAAAATTTTAACACTCACAGTACCGTCGGCGACTTTAATCACCAGACCTAAATATGCGCTCACTACCGCTGGTGACTTTAGTCGCCGACGTGACCAGGTACAATAAACATTTTAAACAACGAACAGACACACTGCACAGAAGTAAACACCAAAGGAAGTCACTATATGACAGCTGAATAGTTGATGAACTCCTATGAATTTTTAAAGCATGTTTCTTGGGCTGCCAAGATTTTTTTAATTAAAAAATTTTTCCACGGGCTCAGCATTCTAAACTGGATCAGTACCTGAGGCTTTTTCAGTATATGAGCCTTAGGTACTGTAAGTGTTAACGTAACAACATTTTTTTGGGGGGGGTAAAATGTGTTTTACGGCGCTCGCAACTTCATATTTAAAAGTCATAAGAGCGTGCAAGGCACAAAACATTTTCAGTCGGTAGAAAATTTTGAATTTTGCACAGGTGGAAACCGAAGCCTACCCTACTCGTCTTATCAATTTTGGACCACCAAGGGATAGATCTTTAATGTGCGCAAATTGCACACGGGGCCTCCGGGATTTTTCACCCATCTGAGAAGGCTAGGTGTTAGTTCTTCCCAAAGATCAAGGGTGTGGCTGATAGTCAGCAGTAAGAAGGAGCCACGGTGTGGCAGTAAAAAGGCTGTGCAGAAAGAGTCAGGAGCCCAGAGGAGGCGGCAAAGGAGGTGATGGGGTGGGGGCAGAAAGTGAAAGTGGGGACGAAATGAAAGCAGACGAAAGCAGACCACAGACCATTGTAAGAGAGAAGGAAAGGAGATGAAAAGAGAAAATTTGAGAAAAGACATTTTTCCGTCGCTGATTTGAACCCCAGACCTATTGGATGACAGATAAACATTGTAACCTCTCCCCCACAAGAGCCCCTCTAACAACATGACAACAAGTCACAAGGCTAAGGAAAGGTATGGCTGTAAAAGTATTAATTTAATAATACGAAGTGACTATTCGGACTCGAGTACAATTATATAAAAATTATAATCCGGACTCTGAATTGAGTCCAGCATGACGTCTGTTCCGACTTCCGATCCTTGTTCCTTAATATTTCCAGCATTTATGAAAATCTTTTTGATTAAAATAATAACAATTAATAGACTCTTGAGCTGCAATATCCAGTTACTAGTCTGTCTAAACTGGCCCTCCCTGCATCATTAGGATCATGAACAGAACAACCAAGCTGAGTTGACCTTGCCGTGGGGCAAAATTAATTATGTCGACCAATGACATTGCACAGAGCGATCACGTACTCTCGGCTTGCTGGGGGAAGAGGTGTTGGGAAGAGGCCATGGCTGAAGATTTTTTGTGCGATGTGATTAATTTACTTAAAAAAATTAATTAGACATCTACAGAAAAACTATAAAACACACAAGGCAAAATGAAATTAACTCTTCATCTCCGAGGGGGGTAAACCCACTAAGACGGGCGCTTTTAAGGTGCTAAATCTAAAAATGACAAAAACGTCATTAAATGGGTCGTTAAATAGAAACTAGCATACCTACTTTGATACTTCTTCATTTATGAATGAACTTCCGGTATAAGAGACCTGTTTTCGGCAATTGTCGAAAAGTAATTTGATGTCAAAGTTGTCGTATGTGCCCGAGCCGCTGTCAGCGGCTCACTGGCACAGTGGTTCCGACCAAGAGCCGCTGGTAGCGGCTTGCCAGAGCTAAAGAGTATAAAACATATGAGGAAAGACAAATGGGCTTCTTTGAACATTAGCAGACCACCACTAGATCTATTCCGGAAGAAAGGGGCGGGAGGGGGG